CCCCCCCCCCCCCCCCCCCCCCCCCGGTCCCCCATTTTCATGAGGCCGCCCCTGCTTTTCCTTTGTGCTCTGGAGGTACACCACCCTGGAGCCTTGCTGCCGACCTGTGGGCAGTTGTCTCCTGGTGGCCAAGGCCCCTGCCCCTCAGCAGCCCTGCTCCTCGGAGCCTGTCCCTGGAACTTCCTGTTTGGAAGAGGCCCTGCCTCTTGGTCACCCTGTCCTCCTTGCCACCCGCTCCATCAGGGGTGAGAGGATGGCAGGGGCCAGCACACGGCCCAGCTCTGGAGTGTCCATCGGGCCGTGGAGGGCGCCCGTGCCGAGCAGAACGTGGGGTGCCCGGCCAGGAGCTGTTGGCAGCACGCTGTCCAGAAGTCGGGGCCACCGAATGCCCAGCTCAGGGAGCACAGTGAAAGACGGGGGGGCTCCCTTCACATCCTGTCTGCCCTTCTCTGACCCGAGCTGGCCGGGGCGCTGTGCGTGTGGGGGGGACCCAGGGACCTGCCTCACCCAGGGAGCCTCCCTCTCTTCTGGCCCTTGGTCCAGCCCGTGGGGGGGCCCCCGGGGAGATGAAGGAGGGAGCATGGGCCGAGTCTTCGGGACCCCAGCTGCAGGGCTTCTGCTGGGCCCCAAGGCCCTGCCACGCCACAGCCTATTCCTTGGGAAGGCTCCAGGGCCTCCATCCTCCCGCCCACTGCGGGCAGACAGGCTGGACCTCAGGCGCCCGCGCTCTTCTGGGAGTCCCTGCACTTCTTGCCCCAGCAGACCCCGCCTGGCCAGGGGCTGCAGGGGGTGCGCAGCTCCCCCTGGGTATGGGGAGGGCGGGAGATGAGGCCTGGGGGAAGGGACCAAGGAATAAACAAGAACAAAAGAGAGAAGGAGTCACTCACTGTTGAGCTTCTGCCCAGTGAGTGCTGGGCTCTGGGACCAGCTGCGAACAGAACTTCCACTCCCTGGCGAGGGCGAGGGCGAGGGCAAGGGGGACAGTGAGGGGGAGGGGGAGGGCCAGCGGGCACTGGGCATCCAACTCCCAGGGGTGGCAGCTGTGGGTACCCCACAGGGTGGGGAGGGCAGGGGGCAGCCAGGCCACTCAGAAAGGCCAAGAGTTGGAAGCAGAGGAACAGAGGGCCGGGGTGCTCCTCGGGCCTGGAGCGGTGAGGGCAGGTCGCACTGCCAGCCATGAGGTCAGGGAGGACTGGGCCTTGGGCATGGGAGCCTGGGATGTGCCGGGGTGAGAAAGGGCGAGGGGACGGGCTGCGGGAGGCTCTGCACACCCCATTCCAGCACCACCAGGCTGAGCTGGCCTCTGCCCCATTGCGGTCTCCCCGGTGGGGCACAGACACCACCCCCCGCAGCAGGAGGGGGCTGTCCCACTTGGGGCATGTGGTCCCCAGCTCTATGGCCCTCGACCTGCACAGATGCTGGGTGTGGGGTCCTCCAGAGCAGGGGGGGGCTTGGCCACCTGGGACTCCAGGCTGAGGGTCTAGATCCCAGGAGGCCTTGGAGGACATTCTTGCTCCTGGTCCTTTGTCCTGGTCACAGATAGACAGGAGTGCCATGGCCACCGGCACCCGGCCTCCCTCGTTACCCCACCCCATCATCTCTTTACTCAGTGCCCTCTTTGTCCCCATTGCTGTTCTGCACCATGGATGGTGCACCACCCTCCCCCTGTCCACCCTCCTCCCTGTCCACCCCACGTGCGGAGCAGCATGCTCTCAGGTGGGAATGCTGCCAGTGCTGTGACCCTCTGCTCTCAGACTCCCTGGGATTCTGTTACCCGAGGCTCGGCCGACGTCGTGCGCCCGCAGCTTGACAACTGCACAGGCCATTTCCAAGCCCCCCAGGGCCCCACTCCACAGCGTGTAGTGCTTTTCTGGTTCCTGTCCTGTATTGGGACACGGATCCCCGCTCTGTATCCTGTCACACGCCCTGCCTGCTCCCCTCATCTGGGGACTCTCTGGCAGGTCCCTTGGTCACTCCCAGGCTGCTTTGCATGGCAAGCAGCTGTGCCTTGTGACCACTCTTCAGGGACATCCCTGACCTGGGATGCTGCTCAGTCAGCCCCAGCCCCTCACCCCTGCAGCCCCTCACCCCTGCAGCCCCTCAGTCCTGGTTTGTCCACGTCCCTCTAAGAACAAGGGGTCCAGCAGCACCCAGGATGGTAGGACCAGCACTGGACCTAAATTGACTCTCACCTCCCACCTCCCCTCACTGTCTCTATTAATGTAGCCTCAGGATGAATGAGTTTGACCAAGCCTCCCTGCAGCGCGTGCATCAGATGGCTGTGCCTTCCTTGGCCTGGGGTGGCGGCACTCACAGCCCCAGAGCTGATCTGAGTCAGCAACCCCTGCCCTGTGCTCCCGGAGTTACCTGTGCTCACCCGACACGGGACCCTGAGATGCTCCAGAGCAGAGGACACATCCTGGGCTCTGCATTCAGGCCTACTGGGCTTTGAGTCCCATCTCTGCGACTGGCATGGATGTGACCAGGGAAGCCCTCACCTCTCAGAGCCATTGCCCTGTGTAAATGGACCGGTGTCCACGCTTCTCGGGGTATTTACTTGAAACAATTGAATGCTCCTCACAGTCCCTGTCAAACAGAGTCAGTGCCCAGAAAGGCCCCGGGGGACATGGAGGTACCGCCCCCGGCTTCCCCTCAGCCTCACGGCAGCCTGGGGGGGTGCTGGATGAGGTGCAGGGAGCTGTGAGGGACCCGTCTGTGGGTGCTGGAGCCCCCTCTGGCCCCGAGCCGTGGCCTCCTGCAGGTGTGCCGAGGTCATGGCCTCCCTCTTCCCCCACTAGCCCACCAGGGGCCTCTGCAGCCTGCAGGCAGCTGTGGCTTCCAGTCCTGGGCCACCTCCCGGGCTGGCGTCCAGCCTCCCCGCCAGGCTGAGTGCTGAAGATGAGGGCCATCTGGTGGATGTCTCCTGACACCCAAGGCAGACGCCTGCCCCAGGGACCCCCTGCTCCTTTGCCACCTCCGTGGAGGCAACAGGGAACCTCACCCCAAGGGGACACCCCTCAAGCCTGTGGAGCCCAGCAGCCTCTTGATTCTCAGAGCAAGCCTGGGAGGTCAGCACTGCTTCTCCCGGGGAGGGAGACCACGCTCAGGAGGAAAGGGGGCAGGCTGGCAGCACCAAGACTGTGCTCGGGCAGCAGGAAGCTCCCAGGCCACCACAGCTGCACTGCGACCTGCTCCGACCGAGACACTGAGCAAGTCCCTCCTTGATCAGCCTCTTGTCTTTAAGATGAGCTGCTTTCTGAGGCACCTCCAGCTACACCCGAGCCCCAACACAGTTGATCAATGTCCCTGTGCCAAGAGGCGGAGAGAGGACTTCAGGAGCTGGCCTCTGGCCTCGGTCTTCATGGACGCTAGAGCTGGGCTGGCAGGAAAACCATTCCTGGGGGGACTGTAGGTGCACGGTAGATTGGGGTAACCCCCTGGGGTTAGAGAACTGTGGGCCACACAGCCAGCCAGAGGCGAGAGCAGCTGTGGCTGTGCCCTGACAGGACAGTAGAATGCTGGGCAGGAACACGCTCGGGTTCTTCTACAGAGATTCTGATGCAATTAGTCTTCACCTAGACCTGCCCTGGCGGGAGTGTGCCTGAATCCTGTAGTCCCTGGACACTAGTGTTTTCAGGGGCCACCACGTGGGTGTGGCCACCTGAGTCAGCATCTTGGGTTCCAGACTTGCACAATGTCCTCTGTAGCAACAGAGCTGCAGTTGGGGTGACCTCTGTCCTCGCACTACCATGGCTGGATTAGGCCCCCCAGCAGTGTCTCAGCCCCCAGGACTCGCATCCCAACTGCAGATCGGATCGCGACAGCAGCTGGTGTTCAGCCAGGTTAAAGGGCACCGCTGCCTTTCAGTGGCTGACCCCTGGGAATGTGGTTTGAGTTCTTGTCTCTTAGAGACCCATCAACCAGGCATTTATGAGTTACATGATAAGACACATCTGGTTAGTTTCAGGATACTGTGCGTGTGTTTAGTGGTGGTCGGGGATGTAACAGGGCTGGATGATTGTGGACATAGGGTGATAGGGACAGGTGAGTCACGACACCATTCTGGTTTTGTGTATGTTTGACATTTTCATAACCAACAAGTAATTAACCTTAAAAAACCTAACAGTGCACACAAACAGGAGAATGTGCCTCAAGACAAAACGTAGACAAAGCAAACCCAGGGTCCCCAGAGTGAGTTTACCCAGGGCCTATGGGAGGGCAGGAGATCAGCCGCGGCCGCGAGCATTCAGCACCTCGGACAGCGACCCGCGGGCCAGTCTCTGGGCGGCCTCTGAGACCGCGCTAGAGACCAAGGACCTTGCAGACTCTCACACACCTGGGGACAGGGTGTTCATCTGAAATGGAAGCCGGCGCTGGTGGATCTTTTTCATTCTGCTCTTTGGGGGTTTCTTTAAGACAGCGCTTGACCTCACGCTTGCTTCTATTCCCGGGACTGCTAATGGACTCCACTTACCTGCATTTCTATAGGACGTGGATGCCACACAGTCCCTATTTACAGCTGTGAGCTAAGGAGCTTTTGAATGAGCCTTAAAATCCAGGAGGTTCGAACCCTCCAAGTTCTGTTCTTAGAATTCTTTTGAGTCTTCTAGGCTCTTTGCATTTCCAAATTTTAGAAACAGCCCATCAATTTCTAGGTCCAGTGAGGTTTTGTGCTGGGGTTTTTCTGACTCTGACTGCGGTTCAGGGGAGGGGCTTCCTAACAATGTTGGGGCTCCCAGTCCACAAACGTGGTACACCCCTGTTTCTTTAATTTCTCTCATCAATGTGTTGTAGCTTATGGTATAAAAACCTTGCTTAGATTTTCTTAGATTTGTTCTAAGTACTTCCTGTTTTTTTGATGCCATTGAAAAATTTAACTTCCAATTGTCTCTGTTTGTTTCTTGGCCTTTGTATCCTACCAGCTTGCTAAACTCACAGGCTTTAGTGGCCTTTTTGCAGATTTCTAGGGATTTTCTATGTTACAAGTTTTTTCTTCTGGGGGGAAAAATGAACTTATTGAAAAGCTTGCTACAATTGTGGTGGTAGGATCATGACTCTCCAAAATGTCCACTTATTTTTTGGTTTTTCGGATTAAACCCAGGGTGCTCTACCACCAAGCTACATCCCCAGCACTTTAAATTTTGAGATAGAGTCTCACTAAGTTGCCCAGGCGGGCCTCAAGCTTGTGATCCTCTTGCTGCAGCCTCCCTCCAGAGTGGCTGGGATCACAGGCATGTTCCATTGCGCCCAGCAAGATGTCCATGTTTGATCCCCAGAACCTGTGACTATGTTATATGTCAGGGGGAAACTAAGGTTGCTAATCAGCTGAAACAGGGGGATCACTGTGATTTTTCCAATGTAATCAAAGGGTCCGTAAAAGTGGAAGAAGGAGGCAGAAGAGTCCATGTCAGAGGGATATGTTGTGAGGAAGGCTTCCCTAGCCATGCTGAGTCTAAAGATGGATCAGGACCATGAGCTGAAGGTCGTGGGTCCCTCTAGAAAGAGCCAAAAGCAAACAGAAGAGCTGGAGAAAGTGGGGAAACAGATTTCCCAGAGCTGGAGGCTCTGGAAAGGGACACAGCTTGGTCCCCTCCTTCATTTCAGTCCAGCGACCTGTAGGCCTGAGCCTGTGACCCTCTGTCATGGCAGCAATGGAAACGAATAAGCATGCACCGTCACCTACACGCACCTACCGTGGCTTCTGCCACGTTTTCTCCCCTGGTGGGTACATACTGTGTGTTTGCGGTAGTGTTATGCTGGTGTGGTGTTTTTGGTAAAATCATCTGAAAACAAGTTGCAGACATAGTTCTTCACCCTCGAATGCCTCAGCGTGAGCCATATAAACCAAAGCAGGTTCTTTCACAGAATCACAGTACCGTTTTCAAATTCAGGAAACTTACAGTCACTACCACATTATCGTCCAATATCGTTCAAACATTGCAGATTGTCTCAGGGATGTCTTCTCTGGCTTTCTTTAATGATGCAGAGTTCAATCCAGAATCCCGTGTTGTATTTAGTCATCAAATCTCTCTCATCTCCTTTATCTAAAAGAACAGTTCTTTCAGTCTTTTTTTTGTGTGTGCGGAAGGGGTCTTTCGTGACACTGACGTGAGTGTCCATCCTGACCCTCTTCCTGGCTGTGCCCAGAACCTGATAGTCATTGGGTGGGGGTGGCGCAGAGGCTGAGGGAGGCTGGAACTCTTAGAGGACAGAAGAGTGGGCATCAGGAACTCACTCAAGTGTGGGGCCCTTCTGAGCACAGGACCCTGTGCACACCCATGAAGTGGGCCTGCACCCGTGTCCATGTCTGTCCTTCTGTCTGTACTATCAGGTAAAGACAGAGGGTGTTTCCTCCACTCTGGAGGGTCCCCTGGTGTCCCAAGTAAGTACTATTCTGACTTCTGTCACTATAGATGGTCTTGCTTGTCCCTGAACTGCATATAAATCAAATCCTACAACATATGTCTTTTGTGTTTGGTTTGTCATTTTGACTGTGAGATTTGCCTGTTGTTTCATATACCAAGGAATTCTTCTCTGGTGCCCTGGGGCCAGTCATCCACTGTAGGATTACACGGCACCACAAGTTCCCCATTCTACTCCTGACGGAAATTTCAGTTGTTCCCACTTTTGTCCAGCATGCTCAACGGTTCCAGAATTGGCCTGCGGGAGCTCTTTCAACTGTGTCCTGTGAACTTTTGACCGACTCCTATCTTTTTGAACACTGACTTCTCTTTTAGGTCAGCAAGATGTTGTAGGCTCATCTTGTACTTTCCTTGCCCAGCCCTGGAACTGGCCTTTCTCCAAAAACCCCTGGCTCCTCTGGGTGGGGGGTTACTCAGAAATGATCCGACCATGGCTCCAGAGGAGTTCTGTAATGTCACTACCTGAGGTCTTTCCAGCAAAGCTGGGGAAGAGATTTTTTTTTAATTCTCGACTTCACGTTGACACCTCTAGTTCCAACCCAATACCCTGGGGTTCTTCCTGCCTCCCCACGGGCTCGCGGAGGCCGGCTCGGCAACACCAGGGCACTCACTTGCTCACAGCGTCCCTGTCCCTCTAGCCTGAACCAGAGGCCCTTTGCCACGAGGCCAGTGGCTCTCCACGTCGCTTCCTCGGCCGCACTTCCCCCAGTCTGCGGCGCAGGGCGACACACCGCAGGCCGCCGAGCCGAGCCGGGCCTGGCGCACCTGCAGTGTGGACGGTCCCGGCGCCCAGCGGCGGCACCTGGGCACCAGGAACATCCTCCTCTCCCCGAGGAGGCCGAGCCTCAGGGTCGGGACCGGGGCTGCTTTCATCTCGGCACACAGGAGGCGCCTCACGCACGACCCTTTGATCACATTGGAAAAAGCACAGTGACCCCCTGTTCCAGCTGATTAGCAACCTCGGTTTCCCTCTGACATATAACATATA